TCTAGAGGGGGGGGGGGGGGGGCGAATAGACTTTCAAACTTTTTCGCACAGCACAACAATTGCTATGCCAGAGATAAACCAAAACTCGTAACTAGATTGTTAGAGTATGGTGCACAGCAGAAATAAATAAACATAAAGTGTGTGCGAGATTGTGTGAGCAGTATATCTCGTGTAGAGCGAATATGTAAAGAGCAGTAAGTAAAGAAAGCAGTAAAGAACACAAGACAATTATAGTGGTTCGCGAGGTGGTGTAATCCTCCTACTCCACTTGCTCTTATCTCCAAGAGCAATTCACTATATCTACCACTCCTTGGTTCCAAGATACAATGAATTTCCGTGATCTAGTGCTTTGATCACAAAGCTCGCACTAATCACGCCCAGTGACACCACACTGCTGCTTCGGTTTTCACGTCGCCGCGCTACTATCCCAGGATTTCACGACTCCGCGTTACTTTCCCCCCGTCTTCCACACTCCGGTAGAAACGTATCCCGTGATCTAGTGCTTTGATCACAAAGCCCGCACTAATCACGCCCAGTGCCTCCGACACTGCTGCTTCGGATCTTACAGCTCCATGTGACAATCTAGGATTTCACAACTCCGTGCTACTTTCCTCCCTTCTCTTGTTTTGCTCCAAAACAAGTGTTGTCTTGCTTCCAACTTCTGAGACTCTGTAGTTGATCTTCAATGATGCGCAGGTCTCTTTGATGAACATAAACACTCTGGAATGATTTCTCTTTATAGCTCTGAGTGTTTTCTCTCTTTGAATATATCAAGTAAAGCACTTGATATTTTTGCTCTGTTTAAGAACTCTCAGAATATTTTTCTCTTAAAGCTCTCTGAGTTCTTTTTCTTTTCTCACTTCTCACTTGAAGATTTTTGGTATGCTCTGTACCAAATGAGATTTTTGCTCTATGCTCTTTTAAGCTTAATTGCTCTATTCCTTCCCCTTGATGGGTTCGAATTTTCTCAACTGCTCTATTGCTCTTCGCAAGTTCGTTATCTTCAAGTCTTCATATCTTCATCATTTTATAGCTGGTAATGAGAATCTGTCCGTTGGAAAGAGACGCTCTCATTTTTGAAATCTTGTATCTTTTTGTCAGAGATCTTATCTTATCTTCTGCAAAGATGTCAGAAAGGATAAGCTAGCCGTTTGATGGACCTTCATCTCCATGTAAATGAGCTCCCAAACTTCATATGATATTCCTCTGGTTTAACGTTGAGTGGGAATATCTGGGCCTCTGTTTTGATGTAGAATGGCTTCTCTGATCAACTCTGAAGTGGTCCTTGTATCTTTGGGATTTAAAAATATTCATTAATTTAATCCCATACTAGTTAAAACTAGTATTTTTCCTTGTGAGAATATTTTTACTGTAAGTTCATCTTCATCTTCTTCATTCTCACGTCTGGGTGTTCTCCGACTTCAAATTAGTTTTGAACTTCCACCCAATTTGAATTTCTCCTTTGCAATTGACACCCAATTTCAATTGGCTTGTAATTGGCACCCAATTTGAATTACAACTTCAATTTGATCTCCATGTCTTCTTTTGCAACTTGAATTTGCATCCCATACTACAACTTCAATTGGCTCCTTTGAATCGGTCCCCAAATTGAATTTGCATCCCATACTACAACTTCAATTGGCTCCCAATTCCAATTCATCCCATACTACAACTTCAATTGGCTCCCAATTTCAATTGATTTCAATTTCTCCTGAAACTAGCTCCCGATTTCAATTTCTCCTGAAACTAGCTCCCAATTTCAATTTCAATTGCTTCGAACTAGCTCCCAATTTCAATTGCTTATGAAATCCTTATGAAATCGGCTCCCAATTCCTTTGAATTGGCTCCCAAGTGCAATTGCATCTCAATTGCCACCCAAGTGAAATTGCTTCCCAATTTCCACTTGTAATTGGGGCCCAACTCCATCAGATTTAATTAGTTTTGGCATCTCAAATTTTACCTTGTAAAATTATTGATGGTGAGATTCAAGCTTGAGCCATTTCGCATAACATATCAAACATCATCCACTTCGTCCGTACAACTATTGATTAAATCTTCAATCTTCTTTGATGTACTCCTTTCTTTCCATAGATGCTTGATCTCCAAGTCAATTTCATGCATTCTTCCAAACTTAATTTTCTTTCACGAAAATTCTTCTGGGATATTTCTTGAAGTAGCGACGTGAATATTGTATCATTCATCTTCTTCTTCAATTTGTCATTTTCTCCAGACAAATTCTTGATTTTAGGCTTTATATCTTCTTCTTCTATTTTCATCCATCTTCCTTTGTTTTTCTCTTTTCCAATTTAAATAATTTCCCGATCATGGTCTTAGACTCTATTAGACCTATGAAATAAAATTTGGGGGATCTACAAATACATATTTGGCATATCAAAACCATTACACTTTATTCCTAACAAGCTTAATTTCTAGGCATTATTTAGAGTAATTTTAGTATGTTATTTTCATAAATAAATTAAGTTCTAGGGTTGATTTTATTATAAATATTATATTTAGTTATATGTTACTAGTATAGATTAGTTTAGATTGATTTTAATAAGTATTAGACTAATGTTACATTTTTATTAATATAAATAGTATTTTATTTTAACTGTAGTATTTTATTTATTACTTGGTTTAATTAAATAGAGTCATTAGGTTATAATGATTTTATTTGAATTTAACTTTGTTTTGTTTTCTTTTAGGTTTGGCGCAGCAGTAAGGAAAAGAAAAAGAAATAAAAGGGATTATATTAAGTTGGGGTTTTTTTTGTTTAATTTGTGTGGACGGCAGAGAACACAAGGATTAAGCCTAACAGAGGTTTTGGCAGAGAAGACATACGAAACGGAAAAAAAAAGGAAAATTACGAAAGAAGAGAGTAAGGCCTGGGCGATGAGAAATTGCATCGACAAGCGTACGTAGCAGCAGCAACGGAGCTTTGATCGCGGCTATCTTCTCCTTAGGCTTGAATTATTTCCCTTCATCTCTATCTTTATTCTTGTTTAAATTTCCAGAATACTATTTATTGAACAATTGATGCATTTAATTATGATTCTTGGCTAGAACTTTAATTAGGGATTTGGATCAGCCTAGATTAGATTAATTGACTATTTTTCATGTGTTAATTCTTCCAATTTCAATTTAATAATTGAATTTGATTATATTTATTTTATGTATTTTAATTGTGAATTGTGTGACTGGTCACTGCATAATTCTAACATCAGGGTTCATAAGAAGAACTGACATGTGAATTATGAACCTAGAACTCGTAAGATAAACACAATTGACCTAAACTAGACATAGCTTTAGGTATTTGTGGTGATATTTGATTGTTGCTTAATGGGTTTAATTAATGTTGGTGAGATATCGACGGATAATCACAGTTAATTGGATACAACCTAGTAGCTCGACGGAGTATTAGGATATATTTGAAGCAATCATCACTATAGTCATAAGAATTAATACTTAGGAGAGTTAGTTAATTATCTAAAAGGTGAACCCCAAATCCCTAGTCTTCTCTCAATTGAAATTTTCTTTTCATTAAGTTAATAAATATTATTTTTAATCACATTAATTATATTTATTTGAGATTTTCCTTATCAACAATTTGATTATTAAAGATAACAGTAAATAGTGTTCTTCGTGGGATCGACCCTGGAATACTCCAGGAATTTATACTGTGATTGACTCTGTGCGCTTGCAGATTATAGCAATCAAGTTTTTGGCACCGTTGCCGGGGACACTTTATTAAACTGTTTTTCTTTAAGTTTGTCACTTTTTAATTTCTTTTCAAATTTATTTTAGTTGTTAGGTTCGTTATTATTATTTTTTTATTTTTATTTAGTTTTTGTTCTTCTGTTTTTATTTTGTTTTGTTTATGAACTTAAGGCGTTCACTAAGGCATAAAAGCGCTGAATTATTTCCTATTGATCTTGAAATTGAGCGTACTTGCAGAAACAACAGGGTACGAAGGCGGCTTGAAATGACTGAAAACAATAGAGTGGGTCAACAGGATGACCCCATACCACCAATAGTTCCACCTCCTCAAAATCAAGCAGCTCAACCACGTCTTCGAGACATCCAAAGACCGGTAATAGCTGTTAACCCTTCTTGCATTCAATTATCTGATGCAGCTAGGAATTATGAACTCAAGAATTTCCATCTGAATATGCTCCCTACCTTTAACGGGTTGGGAAGTGAAGATGCTTTGGGTTTCATGCGAGAGCTCTATAGTACGGTACAAACTTTACCTTTGAATAATTTATCTGAGGAAGAGCTTAGAATGAAATGTTTTCCATATTGCATGAGGGGTGATGTTAAGCAGTGGTTGTTAAATTTACCAGAGGGTTCTTTTAGAGCTTGGGATGATGTTTACAATGCTTTCATGTTTAAATATTATTCATCTCAAAAGACAATGGACTATAGGAGTAGGATATGCACTTTCACTCAAAGAGATGCTGAGTTATTTCATGAAGCATGGGATCGTTTTAAATTGCTTTTGACCCAATGTCCACACCATCAATTCCCATTGTTATTGTTGACACAATTCTTTTATGATGGTTTAACTCCTAATTGTCAGTCTCTTGTAGATACTGCTGCAGGTGGATACACAAAATAGTGATGAATTAGAAGCTATCTATGAGAGCTTAGCTACTAATTCTCGACAAAAGGCAATGATAGGTCGAAGAGCTGTTGTGCATGAAATTAGCACACAATCTGAGTTGACAACACAAGTGGCTGAATTGACTAAACAGATGAACTTGTTGATGACTCGTGATAGTTCGAATAGAGAATTTTGTATTTATTGCAATGCATATGGTCATAATTCTTCTATTTGTATGAATGTAGAGTCATCACAACCATATTATGAAGAAGTAAATTACATGGGATCCAATATGGGTAGGCAACAACCAAGGAGTGATCCATTTTCCCATACCTATAATCCAGGTTGGCGAAAGCATCCTAACTTCTCATAAAGAGATCAAGGTAATGCAAGACCAATGAGACCACCTGGATTTCAGCAACAAGGGCCATCAGGATTCCAACATCAGCAATACAGACCTTTCCAGCAGCCACCTGCACCGCAACAGTCTCAACTTGCTGCTCAGGAGAAGAAGCCTCAATTGGAGGAGATGTTCATGCAATATATGGCTAGCCAGGACACTATGATGAAGAAAATGGATGCAAAAATTGATAAGGTTGCTCAGTCCAACCAAGCATCCATTCATAATTTAGAGGTGCAAGTAGGTCAGTTGGCTAAATTGGTTGCAGAAAAAGATCGAGGTAAGTTTCCTAGTACGACTGAAATAAACCCTAGGGAAGGAGCTATGGCTGTCACTTTAAGAAGTGGTAAGATATTGAATGAAATTATGAAAGAAAATGAACCCATGAGTGTTGAAAAAGAGAGTGATAAAGAAGAAGAGAAAGTGCCTAAAGAGAGTTCTAGTGATCAAAACCTCACTTCCTCTACAGTAAAACCTTATGTACCCCCCATTCCATATCCACAAAGGTTACAAAAGAGGAACCAGGACAATAACTTTAAAAGATTTTTAGAGGTTTTTAAAAAATTGCAGATTAATATTCCTTTTGCAGAAACACTTGCCAATATGCCATCTTATGCCAAGTACATTAAGGAAATTGTATCTAATAAAAAGAAATTGGAAGAGTTTGCTACTGTGCATCTAAATGAGGAGTGTAGTGCTATTCTACAAAGAAAATTACCTCCTAAGCTAATGGATCCAGGAAGTTTTTCTATTCCTTGCACTATTGGTAATACTGTTATTGATAAATGCTTATGTGATATAGGTGCCAGTATTAACCTTATGCCTTTAACTCTTTTTAAGAAATTGGAAATAGTTGAAATGAAGCCAACAACAATCTCTCTTCAACTTGCTGATAGATCAATCAAGTACCCGCTTGGAGTAGTGGAGGATATCTTGGTAAAAGTTGGTAAATTTTATTTTCCTGCTGATTTTCTGATTCTTGATATGGGTAGTGACACAGATACATCTCTTATACTTGGTAGGCCATTTTTGTTGACAGGAGGAGTATTAATTGATATGCCTTTAGGGAAATTGATTTTTAGAGTAGGTAAAGAAAAAAAAGAATTCTCTATCTCTAAAGCTGTAAAATTACCAACTTTTGATGAATCATGTCTTTTTGTTGATGTTATTGAGAAACTTTCAAAAGAAGAATTTGTTAAGTATTCACCTAGTGAAACACCACATCAACTTGAACTTAAACCACCTTCATTGCGGTTCAAATACGATTTTTTGAGTGACAATGATACTTTTCTTATGTTTTCTTATGCTCATTTACTTCATGCAAAAGAAGAGAGATTGTGGAGAACATTGACTAAATCTTGGCATGACAAAAATAATTTTTGGAGAAAATTCAATGTAGGGCAAGAAGTTTTGTTGTCTAATTCTTGTCTTAAGTTTTTTCTAGAGAAATTGAAGTCTAGATGGTTCGGTCCTTTCATGGTCACTAAAGTTTGTTCGTATGAGGCCATAGAGATTGAAAGAGAGAAAAAGAGACCATTCATGTTTGCTTCACCAAAAGGCAACCCCGGAAGAAACTGGCAACTAACAGGGAAATTTCCTGTTTATTTCATTTTCTCATACTTACTTTTATATTTAACATTGAGGACAATGTTGAATTTGAGCATGGGGAAGGGAAAGTAAGATTAGGGGATGTTTTCTGCAAGTTTTATGCAAAATAGGCAATATAAAAAAAAATTCTGCATTTTTCCTGCAATTTTCTGCAACATTTTCTGCATTTTCTCTATTTTTCTGCATTTTGCTACAGTAAAATTCTGCATTTTTCTTTCTACATTTTCTGCACTAATTTTCTGCATTTTATGGGATTTTCAGCATCATTTCTTTCATTTTTCTGCAATTTTTCAGCAAAATAAAGTTTAAAAAAATGCCTTCTAATGACTATGTTGATTGGGAGATAAGTTCTAGAGTTTTGGGAGTGCATAATATCAATGAATGTGTTTGGCTATATATGTATGCTTGCATAGAGTTGGTAGTCAAATTCTGTCACACCGTGAGCTTTTTGAGCATAGAGGTTGCCCACTGCAACTTATTTTCTTTTTGAGTGTTTATTTGTCCTCTTTGATTGTGTTAGTTCTAGAACTTGCTTCGTACCATTTCAGAGCTACATGTTATGTGATGACACCAGAATGATTAAGGCATTAGGATTTAGCCTTATGGCCTTAAAAATAACCACATTCTTATACATGTTATTTTTCCCCTAGTGAACCATTTTTGAGCTTTATAATAAATATAAGACATTTTTCTTCATTAGCCAATCCCAAAGAACGTTAGCTCATAAAAAGAAGCCTTTTCACCCGTCCTTGGGTCAGTGGATGTCATTATTTCATTTATCTGTGCAAGATGACCAAAAGTGATGAAGTATGAGTGAGATTGGAGTTGAAAAGTGATTGTATAGCTGGTTTTCTTTGGGTGAGGAATTGTTGTGATCAAAAGGGATGAAAAATGAGAAAAAAAAAAAAAAAAAAGAAGAACAAAATGATATGTTCTAAATTGTGAGTTGAAAATCTTGTTAGCTCAAATTTTTTGTGCTCATTTTATTCTGAAAATGATTTATGAGCAATGAAGGCATGATAGAAATTTGATGATTATGGAAAGAGTACTATTGAGGGTTGTGTGGAAATGAAAAGCTATTTATTCGGTTTTACCAGAAAAAGGAAAAAAAAAAAAGAAGAAAACAAACGAAAAAAACAGAAAAAATGAAAAATGAGATTTTGAAGTTGTTTTTGGAGTTTATCAGTGAAAATGATGAGGGAGAATGAAGTATAAGTGATGGCTTGTTTTGGTAAAGTTCATTGCATTTGTAGAATACAGTTTCTTGCTCTTGATACGGTGAAATTATGGCTCTACTGATTCCTTGGACTTTCTTTGTATTTCCTTATATCGTTTCTTTCATAAACCACATACCCTTGGCCCCATTACAACCCAGAAATAAAGACCTTTTGACTCGTGTTCTTCATATAATTTTGGTAGTGGAGTTTTGGTAGACAAGCAAGCCTATGGTAAGTGCACTCTCAATAGAGGATGGTGTGTACCTTCCTTATACATATATTTATGAGAGATTGAGTGAACAACCGTGAGGACTACTATTCTCTATAGTTTTGTGTGCATATGACTTTGAACTCTCATGAAGTATTATGTGTTCATCAATTCCCTTGAATTGAATGCCTAGTTGACATGGTTATGGTTGGTAGTTTGATTTTATTGCATAAGTTTGCTTGGGGACAAGCAAAACCTTGAGTGTGGGGAAGTTTGATAAGCTTAATTTCTAGGCATTATTTAGAGTAATTTTAGTATGTTATTTTCATAAATAAATTAAGTTTTAGGGTTGATTTTATTATAAATATTATATTTAGTTATATGTTACTAGTTTAGATTGATTTTAATAAGTATTAGACTAATGTTGCATTTTTATTAATATAAATAGTATTTTATTTTAAATGTAGTATTTTATTTATTACTTGGTTTAATTAAATAGAGTCATTAGGTTATAATGATTTTATTTGAATTTAATTTTGTTTTGTTTTCTTTTAGGTTTGGCGCAGCAGTAAGGAAAAGAAAAAGAAATAAAAGGGATTATATTAAGTTGGGGTTTTTTTTGTTTAATTTATGTGGACGGTAGAGAACACAAGGATTAAGCCTAACAGAGGTTTTGGCAGAGAAGACATACGAAACGGAAAAAAAAAAAAGGGAAAATTACGAAAGAAGAGAGTAAGGCCTGGGCGATGAGAAATTGCAGCGGCAAGCGTACGTAGCAACAGCAACGGAGCTTTGATCGCGGCTATCTTCTCCTTAGGCTTGAATTATTTCCCTTCATCTCTATTTTTATTCTTGTTTAAATTTCCAGAATACTATTTATTGAACAATTGATGCATTTAATTATGATTCTTGGCTAGACTTTTAATTAAGGATTTGGATTAGCCTAGATTAGATTAATTGACAATTTTTCATGTGTTAATTCTTCCAATTTCAATTTAATAATTGAATTTGATTATATTTATTTTATGTATTTTAATTGTGAATTGTGTGACTGGCCACTGCATAATTCTAACATCAGGCAGGGTTCATAACAAGAACTGACAGGTGAATTATGAACCTAGAACTCGTAAGATAAACACAATTGACCTAAACTAGACATAGCTTTAGGTATTTGTGGTGATATTTGATTGTTGCTTAATGGGTTTAATTAATGGGGAAAAAAATCATGCAATTACGGAAAGAAAAAAAAAAAAGAACAGAAAATTAAATTGCAAGTTAAACAATTCCCCGGCAACGGTGCCAAAATTGATGGACAATTTTTAATGTCCTCGAAAGTGCACGAGTCATTGTAAAGATAGTGTGCTTTAGAAAGGGTCGATCCCTCAGGGGATTGTACGATGCAATTTAATAACTTGCTATATATAATGGGAAGCAATAATCTTAAAGAATTTAAAGAAAGTTTCAATCACAGTAAATTAAACCAGATGAAAACAACTTAGGAAAATATAATAATCAAAAGTCGAAAAAATAGAATTGACCATCAAAATGGATTAAACTAAATGAAAACGCAGGCGAAAATAAAGGCATGAAAAATAATAAATTAACTACGAAACGAAACAGCTAGGGAATAAAAGCTATATTAACTCAAGCTAAATTGATCAAATTCAACTTAAATAATGTCAATTCGAATCATAAGATAAAACATAAGCAATTGACAATATTAAAACTCGAACTACTGCAAAAGTTTCATGGTAAAATCATTCACGTTTCTAGAAGGACAATATAAACATATTGAAATTAAAAAGAAGCATACACAGTATCATTCTTTCACCTAGTAAATTATATAGATTAATAAAAACAAAAAGAATAAAGTGAAAGAAATAAAATTGAATTGCTATGAAAGAAAGAAAGAAATTGCCGAATGAATTACTATGCCTCAAAATAGAATTGTAGTTGCCAAATTGATTTATGATTGCTGGAGATTTCCACCGCCGAAGGAATCTGCTGAAGTCACCGAACGGAATTTGTTGCTGACCAGGATTCTATTGTGGATCGTCTCCAGAATTGCTCCGGGGTGATATTGATGATCCTCAATGATAGACTTTGCTCTTCATTTATATTGTTCCGGATCAACGGTTTCCTCCGACTATCTCACCAAAATTGCTCCGATTATATTGGTTAACGCTTCAATCGGATCGTTCAAGACTGGGTTTATTGAAGATCGCTATGCCGTCGGATTCTTGCTTCTCCGCACCTGTGCCTCTCTCGCTAGTTTTCTTATGTTGAGTGTTGACCGGCAGAGAAGAGAACAAACTAAATGGCTCTGCAAATTGGACTATGGACTGGGCTTGATCAAGAAATAACATATTAACAATTCAATTACTCAACAAAGCCCAATTACTAAAAACTAACTAATAATAAGAAAAAATGTAACATAAACTAAATATTGACTTATTAATTATAGCAAAGTTTATTTAAAATATTTATATAAATAATGTTTATCAAATTTCCCCACACTTATTTATTTGCTTGTCCTCAAGCAAAAACATTATTAAAAAGAAACAAAAGAAATTAAAAATAAAACCAAACATTAAACTGAGCTTTTTACCCGAAGTGACTTTCAAATTAATTGCTACCAATGCAAAGTTAGTGCCAACTCAAAGAATGTATAAAACATTTGACTAAAAATTAAAAACTTTAACAACTAACATAAATATAAAATGTGTGTTCGTGTGCTGACATCCCTTATATGAACTATACAAAAACTCAATAGAAAAATATGAAAATTTCACCAAATTCAACCTAAATCAAATTCAGAAATGTTCTATCAGTGTGCAGGTGCAAAACATGAAGGAAATAAGGATCAAGGCATTTATTAAAATTGAAATGCAATTGCTCGTCTCTTCTAAAATTCACTCATTATTTTTTCGTTTTTGATTTTTTTTCCAAAGAAAATTTCCCCAAAAACCTCGCCATTTTACGCCAGACTTGTTTGGGTTTTCAATTTTGTGTGTACTCATAAAACAGACCACGACACTTATTTATTTATTTATGGTACATGTGTATAGGTGGCTGATTCAGCGGAGTAGAATCTCTTACTTTATTGCAAACAAAATAAATAAATAAATAATACACTCATTTTTATTTTTTTTTTCATATTTTTCAAATCTTTTTTAAAAGATTTTTCACCTCACTTATGCCATACATGATCCTTGAACCAACACACTACACCACAATTTATAGCACTCAAGAATTGTTTAAGAATTTGATAAAGGTAATATAAGGTGAAAGACACATATAAACTACTAAAGAAATTGTATAGAACACAAAGGTATTTGTGATTTTCAAATTCTATTTTTTTTTTTCGTTTTTTGATTTTTTTGATTTTTTTATTTTTGACGAAGTTATTCAAAATATAAAGAAATTAACAACTAGTCAAAAGCAATATACACACTAAGAGTTGACAAAAACATGCATTATTTTTATCACCGAATATTTAAAAGACTTATGGATAAAGCTCAAACTAATGCTAAAATTTTAAAATAAAAAGGTTTAAGAAAATATACATAAGAAAATTCAAAAGTTTGAATTTTTTTAATTTTTTACGATTTGTGGGTAGAACCCCTTCCCCACACTTATTTTCAACATTGTCCCCAATGTTGTGAGAGGAAAGAAAAGAAGACAAAGAGAGTCATCCTTTATTAGATTTTGTTTTTGTAAAATTCTTAGTTGGCCCTGCAATTTGTGAATAACAAGAAGAAACTGATTTATCAACGCCATTAAAAAGACTTTCTTTTTGAATTTTATCAAACTCCAACTTACCATCATCAGCAAAATTCAACCCCTTAACTGCAATAACTTGGTTAGCTCTATCAGAAAAATTCATAGATATAAAAATTAAAAACTCAGCAGTTTCATCAAGCACATTTTTGGTAAATTTATCTGTTTGAGCATCATCAAAAGGGATTTGGGGCAAATTTTTTTGTAGCACTTCACTTACAGTTTCAGCCACATAACTTTTGAGCCTATTTGGAAAAGGAACTGGGGGCACATAAGGATTATCAAATTTATGCAACTGAGGCTCATCATTTTCTACAATAATATCATCAACAACATTATGCAATTTTTCAATTATTTCAGTTTGTTTAGAAGTGATATTATCTTTTAACGTGTTTTCAGCATTCAGAGCTTCTTCAGGTTGACTAGGTAACTTACCTGGTACGTGCCCTTGCACAAATTTAGCAATTTGCTCTAAATGTGCTTCTATTCTTTTAAAGCAAGCCTCATTTTCTTCAAATCGTTGTTCATCTATTTCTTGGGGCTCATAAGCTTCTTGTTGCATCTGCAACCATTGATCATGTTCTTCTTGTTGCTTTTGGAACCATTGATCATGTTCTTCTTGTTGCTTTTGAAATCGTAGATCATTTGCTTCTTGCCGCCTATTACAAGCCTGTATATAATCATTCAAGGAATCCTCTAAAGATGGTTTTTCAGGTTGGGGTGACTCAACTGATTGAAAATCATTTTGATAATAATCAGAATAAAAATTGGGATGATTTGCTTGAAAATCATTTTGATTATTATCCCAAAAATTAGGATGACTTGATTGATAATCATGTTGATTATCATCCCAAGAAAAATTAAAATGGTTTGGTCAAAAATCATTTTGATTATAATCACAATGAAAATTGGAATAATTTGGCTCAAAATCATTTTGATTATTCCCAGGAAAATTCGGGTGATTTTCCCAACCCGAGTTATAAGAATTATAAAACGGGTCATGCACATGTCTTTGATTAGAAACATTAATTGAATTTTCTTGTACGAAATCATCATTATAAGAATTAAATAAATGAGCAAGCTTAAAAAGGAAAAACAAACAAAATAATAAGAAAGAGATAGCATTAAAGAATCAAGCAGTTAAGAAATGAGAAAATTAAATAAAGAGAATAGCAAAAGCAAAAACAAATATAAAGCAGTTTCTAAATGCACTAATGAATTAAATAAATAACAAGATTAAAAAAATTAAACAAACGACAATAATAATAAAGAGATAGAATTAAAAAAATCAAGCAATTTAGGAACGGGAAAAATAAAGAGAATAGCAAGAAAGTAAAAACAAGTATAAAGCAATTTTTAATTGGACGAATGAATTCAATAAAACGCAAGATTAAAAAAATGAAAGAGATGACAATAATGAAGGGATAGGAAAAAAAAATCAAGCAATTACGGAAAGAAAAAAAAAAGAACAGAAAATTAAATTGCAAGTTAAACAATTCCCCGACAACGGCGTCAAAATTGATGGACAATTTTTAATGTTCTCGCAAGTGCACGAGTCATTGTAAAGATAGTGTGCTTTAGCAAGGGTCGATCCCCCAGGGGATTGTACGATGCAATTTAATAACTTGCTATATATAATGGGAAGCAATAATCTTAAAGAATTTAAAGAAAGTTTCAATCGCAGTAAATTAAACCAGATGAAAACAACTTAAGAAAATATAATAATCCAAAGTCAAAAAAATAGAATTGACCATCAAAATGGATTAAACTAAATGAAAACGCAGGCGAAAATAAAGGCATGAAAAATAATAAATTAACTACGAAACGAAATAGCTAGGGAATAAAAGCTATATTAACTCAAGCTAAATTGATCAAATTCAACTTAAATAATGTCAATTCGAATCATAAGATAAAACATAAGCAATTGACAATATTAAAACTCGAACTACTGCAAAAGTTTCATGGTAAAATCATTCACGTTTCTAGAAGGACAATATAGCAAACATATTGAAATTAAAAAGAAGCATACACAGTATCATTCTTTCACCTAGTAAATTATATAGATTAATAAAAACAAAAAGAATAAAGTGAAAGAAATAAAATTGAATTGCTATGAAAGAAAGAAAGAAATTGCCGAATGAATTACTATGCCTCAAAATAGAATTGTAGCTGCCAAATTGATTTATGATTGCTGGAGATTTCCACCGCCGAAGGAATCTGCTGAAGCCACCAAACGGAATTTGTTGCTGACCAGGATTCTATTGTGGATCGCCTCCAGAATTGCTCTGGGGTGATACTGATGATCCTCAATGATAGACTTTGCTCTCCATTTATATTGTTCCGGATCAACGGTTTCCTCCGACTATCTCACCAAAATTGCTCCGATTATATTGGTTAACGCTTCAATCGGATCGTTCAAGACTAGGTTTATTGAAGATCGCTATGCCGTCGGATTCTTGCTTCTCCGCACCTGCGCCTCTCTCGCTAGTTTTCTTATGTTGAGTGTTGACCGGCAGAGAAGAGAACAAACTAAATGGCTTTGCAAATTGGACTATGGACTGGGCTTTATCAAAAAATAACATATTAACAATTCAATTACTCAACAAAGCCCAATTACTAAAAACTAACTAATAATAAGAAAAAATGTAACATAAAATAAATATTGACTTATTAATTATAGCAAAGTTTATTTAAAATATTTATATAAATAATGTTTATCAGTGAGATATCGACGGATGATCACAGTTAATTGGATACAACCTAGTAGCTCGACGGAGTATTAGGATATATTTGAAGCAATCATCACTATAGTCATAAGAATTAATACTTAGGAGAGTTAGTTAATTATCTAAACGGTGAACCCCAAATCCCTAGTCTTCTCTCAATTGAAATTTTCTTTTCATTAAGTTAATATATATTATTTTTAATCACATTAATTATATTTATTTGAGATTTTCCTTATCAACAATTTGATTATTAAAGATAACAGTTAATAGTGTTCTTCGTGGGATTGACCCTGGAATACTCCAGGAATTTATACTGTGATTGACTCTGTGCGCTTGCAGGTTATAGCAATCAACGCGCCCCTGTCAGTTGTTTAGCAATAATGCTGTGAACTGTCTCAAGATCAGAGACCCTTACTTTCAACTGAATGGAGAGATGAAGATCCTTTGCATAGGGCGAGTCATCAGCCACAGTATCATGTTCAGAATTGGAGGGGGCAGTCACCGGAATAACATCGCGAATGTGATCTCCAGTCAGAAGACGCTTATCAACATTATAGAGCAGAGTTGGACTGATTACTTCACTCGGCATAGGCTCAAGACCCTAAGTTGTAAGAATGCCATAAATCAGATTCGGGAAGGGTAGCCTTACCTTCTGCTCTCGTGGGTGAATCATGGTGAGGATGTGGTGGTAAATCCAGTTTCCCATATCAATCGGCATCTTTGCCCCAATTCGAAACAAGAAACCTGCCAGATGCTTGCCATCCGTGTGGAAATGAGCTGATGGGAGCCAGTTGTGAAGGGCCAAGCGATGCAGAATAACATATCTGGATGTGAGTTGAGAGCTCTGCAGATAATCCTTGTCACCCGTAGGCCAGGCTTCAATTTGTCCACCCGTAAGAGTTTTGGCAACCAAGTTCCAGTCTGTGATTGCCTCTTCTTGCACAGCAGTCAGCCCATAGTATTCATTGATCATGCCAGGCCCAAAAATGTACCACTTCCCTCTGATGAAAATCTGCATTGGTCGTTGCCCGGTTAAAATGTCAATCTCGTCATTGAGATTACAATAGAATTCATACGTGAGGAGCTTTGAGTATGGGCAGATGGCAGTGACAGTCTTCAGCAATCCTACTTCATTCAGCAGAGGCAGAATATCACATACGGAGTTCAGCTGGTTCTCATCCACAGATCGTTGAACAATAAGCTATATTCTGACCATAGTAGACCATTTGTCCTGAGCAACAGGAGATACAAACTGAGGCTTGTAAAGAGATTGTCAGATCCTTCAATAGGTTGAACTTCAGGAGTTATGCTTCGACCTCTGGAACGTGTGGATGGTCTCTTTCTGATAGATGATATAGGTACAGCAGCGGGTTGAACAGCCGTAGGGCCCTTTTGTTTAACAGAAGATCGCAGTGTCTTGAAAACTTGTTGGATAGGTGGATTAGCTTCAGATTTGACTGTTACACTAAACTTCCTTTTCTTCTCAGGCTGATCTGCATCAGCACTGTCATCACCTGTCTCAACAACAACTTTCACAGGAACATTCTTCCTTTTAGACTTTCTCGTTTCTTTGGTTGGGGATTGAACAGGAGTCACAGAATGACTGGAATCAGATACTTGAGCAGAAGAGCCACTAAGCAGATTAGTAACCTCTCGTATTTTAAATTTTTTAGAGTCAGGATGAACAGTGGCCTCAATGGTGGGAATGTCAGATGGAGGTGCTTGAGACCCATAAACTTCAGCCAGAATCTTATCATCTTCGCTGGAGGATTCAGATGGGTGAATCACTTGATACGGTTGAGGAATCGAAGCAGACGGTAGGCCAGCAAAATGTCGCACATGCTCCAGACTTTCACCTAACGATGTGGCAGTGTAGACTGGGATTCCACCTGTTTTCTCAGACTTATGGGGGCTTGAGAGGTCAATAGACTCAACATTAGCAGGTAAATCAGAAGGATCATCAGCAGGGCAAATTTCTTTGGGATAAACGACAATCTCAACAGGAGGCAGAACAATATTATCAGAGGAGAATACAACTAAACTCAGATTATTGGGCTCATAAGATGATTTTTCTTTCTCATTAGACACATGCAAGACATCATTTTTCACACAATCAGCAGATTCTAGGGTTGCGACTCTGCTCGCCGTCGAGAGACCTCAGCAGATTCTAGGGCTCGTTGTGCAAAATGTCGAAGAAAAGCCCTGGTCTGATTTCCATCCGAGGGTTCTGGAATAGATACTGGAGAAACCTCATCACTGGCTTCAGAAACCATCATCAGCAGTTCAGTTGCATCGTCTTCAGACCATTCAACATAAAACTCTGGGTAGTTCGTCATAACAGTCACCAATATCTCATCATGAAGCAGAGGATCAAGCTTGATTTTCTTCTTCATAGCAAACTGCAATAGCGTCTGAATATGCTTAAAAGCCACCTCTGGAGAATGTGTCTTGCTTCCGAGTTTGATGATGATATTTCTTACTGGGTCCGCCATTGGAGATTTTTGTGAGAGGAGAAGAGCAAATCAAGGAAGGCAAGGATGCAGAGAGAGAGGAAGTTTGAGTGCTGAGATACTCGTAGATATTTTTCTCCTTGGCCCGGTAACAAATAGACTTAAGGGTGATGAACCCTAATTAATGTGGCTAGTCAAATAGCATACAGACGCGATTGATTGACACAACGGTACAGCTTCTTTTTAGGAAGGAAACGGAACCCAAGGAAATTTGAATTTCGAAAAAAAGATTAGGATCTTTTAAGATATCTTTAAGATATATTCGGTTATAGAAACCACTTAACAAAATAGAGAGGAGTCTTAAAAGGAAGTCGAACCATAAGACTGACCCGTATAAGAAAACCTTCACTCCTCTCTGACTGACCATCTGCTTTATTAGTCAATTCTGCAAATTCCCAGAGCAGACCTGAGAATTTCAAAACGATTTGCATCTAGTGGCTTAGTCAGAATATCCGCCAGTTGTTTGTGGGAAGTTGGATTATGCTATGTTGATGAGGAAGCTAATTTGATAATGATATTGATTAAGGTGTGATTATTGAGCATTATTGACAAATGATGGTGATTAGGTAATTAATGATGTTTTAGTGGACTAATGGAGATTAAGGATTAAAATGGTAATTAGTATTAACTGGGTTTATTGGATGATGTATAATATGGATATCACGAGGTAGTTGTTGATGATGATTGAATATTATGTTGATACAAGAGTTATGGATTGATGATGTTATGGATGGATGTTGGTGAAGATAACATGGTGATGATAGTTATTAGTAGTTGATGATTGAATAATAATAATGGTGATGAATGGTTAGTGATTAGTAGCCTTGGTTTTTATTTGGTATAGATTGTTTAGTTTAGAACTTGAACTGTTGATTCGAATAATGGAATATTGTGACTTGGGTATTATATAGTAACCTTTGTAGCCTGTGCGTTTGGGCTTGGTTGGTTGCCCGGGGGTGGCATAACACCCCATTTGTTTCTGTTGTTTATTTGAGCCTCCGCATTTGAATTCTATCTATTGAATTGCTTCACTCACCAATTTATTAGAGCTGACAGTGCAGTACAGTAATTGGATTGAGAGTATGTGTCTTCCCTCCTAAAATTCTTTTTGCCATCCGTATTCTAATATGAGACTTCTCAAAATACACTGCAACATACCTTTATAGAAGTTTTAGTGCAATAGGCAGATGAAATTTGCCCATGAATGCCAGCGCATCAATCAGTAACTCTATGTGAAGTCTCACTGTGTATTTGTACAGGTGCAAGCTTATTTGTTTGGTACAATTGAAGCCTTCTATAATGCCAATTTGGGAATCACAAAGAAGCCTTTGCCAGATTTCAGGTAACTATTGTAGACTAATTTCTTGATTGTGCTGCTTTAATTTAAAGCACTGACAGTCTTCAATGCCTTCTTGAAGCTTCTATGACCGATCAGCTCCCATTTACACTCAACCTCGAGATTTATCTCCTTCTAAAATGCTTGATGTTGATGTCACAGACATCGTTATTGGTGAAAGTTGTGTAATCAAGGTAAGTGAATTGAACTTTGGTTGTAAATCCTTACATATTATAATTTGTTTGGTGCAACCTTATACTGGTCTAGTTTGCCCACCAGGAAAAGAAAGAGCATCATAATTTGTGTCCTTGCACATCATAGTGTTATGCGTCTACTTTTTCTGAGAGGCTTAAAACTATTTTGATTTGAGAGTTCACTTTTTTTTTTATTGGATTCTGTTTCAGTACATCATGACTAACCTTACTCTACACAGTACTATGAAACCTATATGGTCTGTCTTCACAAGTGTGTTGTTTGGTGCAGAACTGTAAAATTCACCATTCTGTGGTTGGACTTAGATCATGCATATCGGAGGGAGCAATTATAGAAGATACATTATTGATGGGAGCAGTTTACTATGAGGTAATCATCTATGTAGATACTGAATGAATTTGCATTCCCATTGGGCTAAAATTGGCTTTTGGGCAGGATGCGATATTTTATTAGTTCATGATCTAATGGATATCATACTCTTTGTTGTTGTTATGCTTCTTTCTTCCTTTAGCAATTTATAGCCATTTTCACATCCTTTGGTTTCTTGCTTCAAACGGATGCTGACAGGAGGCTTCTGGCTGCAAAGGGAAGTGTCCCAATTGGAATTGGCAGGAATTCACACATCAAAAGAGCAATCATTGACAAGAATGATGTGAAGGTTCGATATCAGATAGTTTTCTGCTCTTCTCCTCTTTTTGCTTTTAAAAATTTGGCCATTAATCTAGTGAACTAGTGTGCTCAATCTTCCTGTGCACGACTTTACTCTTGATTGTTTCAGATCATTAACAGTGAAAATGTTCAAGAAGCAGCTAGGGAAACTGAAGGATATTTCATTGAAAGTGGAATCGTCACAATCATCAAGGATGCATTGATTCCCAGTGGAACCATCATATAGAAGTATTTGAAAATCATGTGTACATGATTATTGTAGTTAGCCGTTAGAGAGACTAATGATGCATCCTGTTAAACCTTTCATTTTAGTTTTGAAATTTTAAATAATAAAGCATTATCGTCGTCTCTATGTTGCTTTTTTCCCAGCCTAAGGTGTTTAATTGCTATAATTGAGATATAGGCAAATAAGATATTTTAAAAACATTCATTACTATTTAAAATCACAATTTTATTTTAAAATAATTCAAAAACGCGACGGAATCGTGACGAAATATTTGTTGCAAATGATGCGACGGAATTACGACGAGAAACATTTTCGTTGCGAAATGAGCGACATTATTGGCGACGGAAAAGATAATATGGCGACGGAATATTCGGTTCAGAAATAACGACGGATTTGCGACGGAAACAGTTCCGTTACGAAATGGGTGACGGAATACTTCCGTTGCCAAATGGCAACGGAAATATTCCGTCGCTAAGTCCGTCGCCAAAAGTTGCGACGGAATTATTCCGTCTTCTATCAAAATACGACGAGGTGATAGACGACGGAATAAATTTCATCGCCATTCCGTCGCGAAACGCGATTCACGACGGAATATTGCCCATTCGGGACAGAATTTTTCCGTCGCGATTCGCGATTTTTCTTGTAGTGGACGGCATTATGAAAGTAATAAAATTCAAATGGGTGAAATTTATCTACAGGAAGATGGTTATATTTGTACAAGCTGCCAAACCAATGAACAAACCCGCTGTGGTGGATCGTTTTTATCAAAATGTTGGATATGGTCTCATCATTGGAGAACTCCTAAGAAAGAAGACAATCCCAATGAGAAAGCACAAAAATATTGGAATCTACAGAGTACTCTTTAGAAAGTTTAGCCCGAATTTTGGGAAAAGATTAAGCCAGAGAAAAGGATAAGAAGGTGGCAGTTCCACAAGTTCAAAAACACCACAGAGCTCAAGATTGAGAAGCAGCAAAGCAATCTCAGCCTCAAGTAATCGAATGGGATCAAGCAATCGGTCAGGAAGAGATCAAGAAGCCATCAGTACGGCTATGACCATTGTTCTACTCAAATATGTCGAACCGAACATGTTGGTCGAAGGTGTTGACGATACAACAAGAATGGAATTTGTAGGAGTTGATGTGCAAGTTTCTAATGATCTACAACGAAGCTCTTGAGTCAATCTGCAGCCGAAGGAAGTGCAGGACCTATAGTTTTTGACTCAGCTCTCGTTCAAGACGATCCGGAACTGTTGAGAGAATTAATAATGGTGCAAACTTGGAGAGAATAGAAACTTGAAAGATATAAAATCCCTAACACATGCAGATTAAACAACAAAACTAACACAACGGAAGATAAAAACGGAAACTGGATAAAAGAAATCCAACGGGGTGTTATGCCACGTCTACCAAACCCGGTAACGCTACGGCGAACAATCTGCAAGTGTATAAAAATATCCCAATACATCAATCTAACTACATTGGGCGCACAGGCCACAAAAACCACAAGATAAAGGTGCTAAGCTACCAGGCTCTAGACATCGCGCTCGTCTAAACATCACCTGAAAGATACAAAGATACACATGGGACGACGCCCGGTCAGCGATAATGCTGGTAACCCACCAATACCGTTAAGTATCATATATAGGTAGATATAAGATAGAAAACCATTTTCGAAACGGAATACATAAGTATATAAGTTAAAAGCCAAGATCGAAAGACAACACAAGACTCATCACTCTCAAAGATAACACCGAGAACACATCCCAAACCACAAAGGTTACCACAACACGAAGGAAATACAACTCACCCATGACAACACATGCCCTTGTGACTACACACGTCACAAGAAAGAGAACTCACCACAATGGCTACACAAGCCCTCGCGACATCACCCATCACGAGTTGATATGCCTTCCTTATGCCCTGTTCCAACCTTATGGCTACCCCCAACCTTATACCTTCTTCCACCATTACCTCCAGGACCCTTGTACAGCCAAGTCCAACCTTATTCCACCGGGACCGTCGTCCCCCACCAACAACCCGCCTATAAGACCACCAATTTCATAGTACACGAGGTACCGTACACACACATGGCACACATGCCCGGATAACACATGTTATCCCCCAATCACGTGAACCTTTCTCGAAGGAACACAACTCCATTATCATGTCACGGCCACCACGAGGACCGCTGCAATACCTTGGTGACTAGCGTCCCATACCACTAATCGTGCAATCCAGGTAAAGCCACACACGCACAACAACTCACACGAGTCAAGCAATGGATTACAACGAAGGTATGAATACTAACTCTTGATGAAAAGACAAGCAAAACATGCCAAATCTCACCAAATACAACAAAATGACTTGAACCATAGAAAATGCCAAGCAATGGCACAAAGGAACCCTAAACACAAGCTCTAGATATGCAATATCACAAGATAAATGCATAAACCCTCACATTTCATAGCAAAGAACAAGTAGAATCCAAGAAATCACATATAGGTAAGCAAAATAGGTTTTGTAGAGCATGAGTTACCTCTTGTAGACCAAAAGACTTCACTTTACACCACAACAAGCTCCCCACAAAGCTTACTTCTCAAACCCACTTCAAGATCAAACCAAAAGATCATAAAGATCCTACCTTTAAGAAACAAACAACTAAGATGGAACCAAAAAGACTAGACAAGCTTAGATCTTACCCTCCTAGATGCCCAAATAGGTGAAAGGTTGAATCTTGGAAGCAAAACTTGGAATCTTGACAAGGGTCTCAACTTGGCTTGAAGAATAAGCTACTCTTCTTTTCTAGAGAGAAGATGGAGATATTTTCTAAGGATTGTAAGGAATGAAATGAAGAAGTCTTCTAGGTTTAGGTTACAATACTAACTCTTGATGAAAAGACAAGGATACCCTTACTAAGCTTTAGAAAGTGTAAGGAACAAGGGAACTCCTCTCAAAGCACAAGGTACAACACAACTTAAAGATTGACTAGTCAAATACTAGTCCTTGAGTATTAAAAATCAGGATTTTAGGAATCAATTCCTCAAAAGAATTAGAATTAATTACTCAATTAATTCATGGATTGAAATGTGGATTTTTGGGGTGTCACATCCTCTCCCCCTTCAAAGAAGCTTCGTCCCCGAAGCTTGGGTACGACGAATTAAAAGCGAATGGTAACAAGGAAACGAAATTGTGACAAGAAGTTCAAGAATAGTCCTTTTGGTCAAAAACTCCAAAAGTACTCACAAGGGTTCCAAAGCAAGGAAGAAGGTATTTCAAATTCAAGGATTGGTCAAGAGCAAAGCAAAGGAGTAGATTGAGCATCACAAACTCTATTCTCAACACCCACATCTACTTCTACCCAAACACTAAGGGCAAGACAACAAACACGAAACACCCACTACCACAACAAAACTAACTAAGCCACAAGCAACACACAAAGGCAAACACGCAAGGAAACAACCAACGAAAAAAAACAAGATACCTTCCACAGACAACTCCGGGTACCGCTCCCGCATTGTCGACTCCAACTCCCATGTAGCTTCTTCAACCCCATGATGTGTCCACCAAACCTTTACCATCTTAACGGACTTCCTACGTGTGTCCCGAGTCTTAAAGTCCAAAATTCTGAGCGGTCCTTCTTCGTAAGACAAATCCTCATCTATCGGTATCACTTATGGTGGTAACACATGGGTCGGGTCATGAACATATCTCTTGAGCTGCGATACATGAAACACATTATGCACTCTTTCTAACTCCATGGGCAACGCCAAACGGTAAGCCAAACTTCCAACCCTCTCCAGGATTTCATACGGACCTATAAACCTAGGGCTCAACTTCCCTTTCCTTCCAAACTGCATTACTCCCCGGGTGGGAGACACTTTCAACCAAACCTTGTCCCCTACCGAAAACTCCGCTTGTCTTCTAGCCAAATCAGCATAGGACTTTTGACGATTCTGAGCCGCTTTCATCCTTTCCTGAATCTGTTTAACTTTCTCAGATGTGTCCAACAAGTATTGTGGTCCCAAAACTATCGGATTAACAAGATCATCCCAACAAAGCGGACTGCGACATTTCTGTCCATAGAGAGCTTCATAAGGTGCCATGCGAATACTCGAATGATAACTATTGTTGTAAGAAAACTCGATCAAATCCAAATAGTCCTCCCAAGATCCTTGAAAATCTAGCATATAAGCTCTCAACATATCTTCGATAGTCTGTATAGTCTTTTCTGTTTGTCCATCGGTGGCTGGGTGGAAAGCAGTACTGAGGCTTAGCTTAGTTCCAAGAGCTGCTTGCAAGGATTTCCAAAATTGAGACAAGAACCTTGGATCTCTATCGGAGACAATATCCCTCGGAACTCCATGATACTTTACCACTTGGTTGACACAGGCTTGAGCCAACTGTGTCATTGTCCAGGTCTCCTTCATTGCGATGAGGCGGGCAGTCTTAGTCAAACGATCAACTATCACCCAGATTTTGTCCTTACCCGAACGGGTCG